ACTCTAGGAGACTATTTTACTTCCAAACACTTACGAGCTTTAGTATGTTTTATTCATAAAACTTGTGTTATACAACACTTATATTATTTGTATCATCTTAATCATATATTATTATATGTTTAAACACTATTAGGACATCAAATAATTTCACTTATTTTAACACGAAGAACATCGCCATTTACACCGTTTCACAACCAAGAACACACTTAAGGTGAGTTTATACCCTTATGTTTTCTTGATTTTTCATTGTTTTAGGGGGGTGGGGTGGGGGAGGGATACAAGTTTAACACAAGAAATTTTGTGTTAATATCTAAATGATTTCAATATTTTGTCAATCATTGACAATTATTAAAGACACACACACACACACACACACATATATATATATATATATATATATATATATATATATATATATATATATATATATATATATATATATATATTAAGGTTCAATAGGCTTAGAATTTATAATTTTGCTCTATTTCGTGTTCCTTGTTTGGTTGTGGGTTTGGGGTAGAATTATTTATTCCCTTTTTATTCATAATTATATAAATATTATATGTACATAAGTATAAAGCCATTTAAACTTGCTAAACAAAAATATTAATTTTTACAATCTATTTTAGTACCATTTGGACACAAATGTTAAATTTCATGGAACAACTGTATTACGGATTTTACGATTTAAACTTGCCAAATTATTAACAATACAAAAGTTTTTGTTTTAGTAGAACACATACATATAAAGTATAATAGGTATTGTAACATCCCAAATTTCAAGCCCGAAAATTGCATTTTTTAATTAATAATTTATAAAACATTTTACCATAACATAATAAAGCAACACATTACAAAATCATAATGTTGTGTCCCAAACCATGACATCAAAATTAATGAAAATCAAAGTACAATCCCAGAAAGTCCGATGCGGAATCATGTGTGTGTGATGCGATGCTACGCCGCCGACTCCTTCCCCTTAGAAGAAGAGGTACCTAAAACCAAAACTGAAACCGTATGCACAAAGCTTAGTGAGTTCCCCCATCATACCACATACCATACAATATCATCGGTATCTTTCAACCGGTAATCATCGTCGGTATCTTTCAACCAGTAACTTCCATCGGTATCTTTCAACCGGTAATCATCATTGGTATCTTTCAACCAGTAACCATCATCGGTATCTTTCAACCGGTAATCATCATTGGTATCTTTCAACCGGTAACTGGGGACTATTCCACCCCTTACCACTAGCATACAACACCAAGATATAAACATACAGTCAGGCATATCTGGGTACTGACCTACCCCTCGGTCCTAAGGAGCGTTGTCAGGGGAAACTAATCCTTACTATACACATAGCATATCATACAAATAAATCTCATGACCAAAGCACATAACCAGACCAAGATAATTATCACAAAGACAATCACCTTCTAAATACCCCTATTTGGTGGGCCGACATTGTGGCCTTAGACCCACCTCTATTGGAAGGTAACTCAACTTAATGTCGTGCAGTGTTTGAACTATCCTCGGCATACAAATCGACTCCCTTCGACTCCTCGATCCCTACACGACAACCTTCAAGTCAGCACACAGAACATGCAACCCTAAACTACAATAGTTATAGTTTATAGAATATATGTACAGTTATTTATCACAAAAAGGCTTTTCATTATTCTACATGTAACCGTCAATATAGCATTTACGAGACACACTTCACGTACTTATCTAAGTACCAACCAAGCCCTGAAATTTAAACTAGATTTTCTTAGAGGGAGAGCGTGACACTTGTGTATAGATCTATATGGTACTGACAATCCTGCACCTTAACTGTTAACTACAGTTAGACTGGCAGACCTGGGGTAACAAATGTAGTAGCGATTGCGATGCCTGAAGAACGTCGTGTTCAGGCCATCATAGGTCATCAAGCATGGTTATGATAACTCACAATTTGGTATTGAGCAATACAATTAGTGTATGAATAAGTAAACAACTTTATATAGTTTTATTAAATAATAAAACTATAATACTATAATTACACAGTTTTTATACAAGTACGTACAAATATTGTATACTATTATAGTATAGAGAAAACATATTTTTCATGGTTTTATGTGAATTAAAACTACATTATACTATCTCAGAGTACAATAACATTTACATGTTTTGGTCTTATGAACTCATCAACTTAATTGTTGACACTCTTTTCAAAACTACTTGTATTCTCAAGAAATCAGTAAACAGGTATCCACATGTTTTGAGAAGAAGGAGCTTCATAGACTCATCTCTTTTAGCTTTTGCTATACATTTTGGTGTCAAGTATACATTGATTTGAACACGAATGTAAAACTATGCTTTATCAATGTAATGGTTGTTGTACTTTGATTATTATTATGCAATTGTTGTGATACTGTACATGTGGTCATCCACCCCCGAACGTTTCTGCCGTTCCGGTTTGGGAGTATGACATTCGAGATGCGGGAGCAGTACCCAGTGTTGTTTCCGGAGGATGACTTCGAGGGAGAATTCTGATTCTAGTGGGGAGAACTGTAACATCCCGACTCCCACGTATAATATTTAATTAATTTATATTCATGTGGTCAGAGAAACTCGATGAGTGGGAGGCCCTAACTCGCTGAGTAGAGAGTTAAATGGTTGTGTGATCTTTAAAGTCTTCTCGACGAGTAGGAGTTGAGTGTGAAAACCCTAATTTTCAGGGCTTGTGCCCTATTTAAAGGACCTTAAACCTTCATTTCCGCCTCCATTATCATGTTGACACACTGAGAGAAACCCTAAGAGAGTTGTATTCACTGTGAAAGAATGAAAGGCTAAGATTTGTGTGTTCTAGTGCATTTTTAGAAGGGGATTAAGAGCAAAATGGCTTAGAGCGAGAAGAAGCCTTTGGATCTGGTGTTCTTTTAGTGCTAGCTACCATTTAGAGGTAAAAAGCTTTCACCTTTATCATTGTTTGGTTAGATCTCATCATTAGGTAGTTTATGTCCATTTCAATCCTTTCTTTGGGTCCTTAAGTTGTTTGAGCTTTCCATGGAGTTAAGACTCCAGATCTGGATAGTATGAAGTCCCTTGGGCCTAAAGATTCAGGCTTTATCAAGCTATTGGCCGACTTTAATGCATCAAACCCTCTATAGAGCTTGTTTTGGCATTTTGAGCCCTAGATGGCATGCATTGACGTAAAGCTTGCATCTTTACGTGATACTTCAGCCTTAGAAGGCTAGATCTAGAGTATGGATCCTTAGTTCTGCTTAAAAATGTCTGAATGAGAGAATGGACTGAAGGGACTCGACGAGTGGATGAGCCAACTCGACGAGTTGGCTAGGGTTTTCCCCGATAGTTTGGATGTGTTACAACTCGGCAAGTTGGTGAGACAACTCGACGGGTTGAGTTGGATTTTCCCGATACTTTAGAGAAAATGAAGGAACTCAACGAGTCGTATAGATTCACTCGGCGAGTTGGGTCAACATAGATGTTGACTCGGGTGTTGACTTCCGTTGACTTTTAGGGTTGGTCAAGACATGAGTTATGGAGATAATGGAGGGGTAAAATGGTCTTTCACCCTTTCCGAGAGTTAGAGCAAGGGGTTAGCCTAACTTTTTAAGGTTGTGGTTATAAAGTGTTAATTAGAGATGATTATGACATGTAGGCGGAGTCTAGACCATTCGTGAAGTACGAGACCTACTTGCTTTCTTGCGAGGTGAGTCTTCTCACTAGACTTACCTGAGTGGTAATACTATGTGACCGGAGGGTCTTATTTGAGTTATCGACCGGAGAGTATTATGTGCTTGTACTGAGTTATGTGATATTATGCATTTTGTCTTTATGATGTATGTTATACATTATTTTGTGCCTTAGTGAGATAGGACCGGAGGGTCCAAACCGAGTTGTGAGACCAAAGGGTCTTTACTGAGATACAGGACTGGAGGGTCCAATCTAAGTTGTGAGACCGGGCGGTCTTCACTGAGACACATGACTGGAGGGTCCATATCGATCCGTGAGACCGGAGGATCCTTACCGAGACACATGACCGGAGGATCCATGCCGAGCTATAGCCATGAGAAGCTTATTATTTGTGTATGTGGTATTTTGGAGAACTTACTAAGCTTTATGCTTACCGTGTTGTGTGATATGTGTTTTAGGTACCTCTTAGGATCGTGGGAAGGTGCCGATTTGATTGTACACACCAGTTAGAGATTATATTTTTGAGGATTTTGGGATATTATCAAACATTTGTTGCCTTGTATTTTGACAACTTATACATTTCGTGGGTTTTGAGGAATGTGATATTGGGTTTTAAGTGATTCTAAAAATGAAAATTTTATTTGAAAAATTAGGGTATTACAAGAGGCATAGGATGCATCTTCATAACATGGCATGACTGATGTTTAATTCAAGTGGTTAGATGATTACTCAAAATATTATACAATTAATAAAGTCATAAATATTATGGTGATTAAATAATGGAGATTATCGATATTCAATAGAATTGAGACAATAGTTAATTAGTATACTATTGTGTTTCACTTTGCATGTTTTACTTCTTGAATTATTTGATTATTTGGAATTCCACAGTCGCTCATAGTTTTGGAATTAAGTAGTGAATTAAGATTGTCATGAATTGAATTATAGATTGTTTGTGGAGATTAGCCATTGCAATGGTTGCTACAATATTCATGAGTACTTAGAAAATAGAGATTTTGAGTATTGGATAAACTCATGCTCATAGAATTACATCATGGATTATATCAAGAGCAATTGTGAGACGATAAAATTTTATATTCTTGAAATGGATATATATATATATATATATATATATATATATATATATATATATATATATATATATATATATATATATATATATGAGTTGTAATTTACAAGTCGGTTCTTTTTAATACGAGTAACTGTGAGCCTCACCAGAAAATATCGCAATTGGAGTTGTGCTAACCTCCGCCGTTTGCCGAACAAGACCTTCGTTTGCTTTATTTCTGCTCTCCTCCCTTGCTACTCACCTTCATATGCTTTCTCCATCTGCTCTCCTCAACAGCTACCTCTGATGTGCTTCTCACTTTCCTCTCCACCAATATGTCATCTCTCTTTATCTCACTTGTAATATTAGGTGAATAAGGTTTTGAAGATATGAATTCTGAAAGAAGAAATTAATGTCTGAAAAGTTAAAAGATGGCTAACAGCTTTTTTTTCTTAAATATTCATTATTGTTTTACCAAATGAAACATATTGGTGGGTATTTTGCTTTAAATTATCGAAAGTATCTACAAATTAAACAAATTAAAAGGAAATGAATAATTTGTTTGTTAAATCAACTATTTTTAGCATTACTTTATTGTTTCTATATATTAGTTAATTTTTTGATGTAGTGAACATTGACATAAAATAACAACCAACTACCATTGTGTTTAAAAAACATGCAAGTACTTCTCAAAATTCTGAAAATCCATTGATGGTTGTGTTATGCCCCTGTCATGGAGACGTACATTTGATTCGTCATATTCAAGTTTATCTTGGACTAATAGTTGTATCCTCTAGATATATACACCAATACACTAACAATTTCGCTTAGGACGCTGCATATTGGTGCAATCTTGTATCAAAATTCAAATATATAATTGGAAATCGAGTACATCTTCTTACTGATCGTATATTTTTGTTTCTACTTGGCACATATTTTCTTTTTGTTAACTTAGATTTTAACAATTTGAACGGCTAGTAGAGAGTTTAGTATTCCCATAGCGTTCTTGTTTTCTTTCTCCATTTGGTTTGCTATATTCTGGAATTCCTATATTTAGTAATAGCAATTAAAAGAAATAAGTTGCATTTTTATTAGAATGATGGGTTTGACATGATTAAAAGTCAGAAGCAAGAAAATACATAAAAAGGAAAAGTTACAAACGCAGTGATCACTTTTGTTTGGTAGGATAAGAAGCCATCTTATAAATACCACACATCCCTTCACTTTTACTAGTCTTCCTCTTCATTCTGATGTAACCCTTCTCTCCCCATTTTGGCCCCCAAGAATTCCTCACAATTATATAATCTTGTCCCTTGTTGCTTCCATATCCAACTGCTGCAACTCCATGATCCAAATCACTTCCACAATGTCCATCAAACACACCCTGAAATATTATAATTTTATATTACTTAAATATTCCGATTAAGTTTATATGAGACTAATTAATTACCCCACTGTAAAACTGGAAATCGCGACCAGAAGCATCAATTGCAACACTAATAGGTTGGTTTGCAAGTGCTTTCAAAAAACTATCTTCATTGTTATGAGGTACATCATGATACCCACTTATCGTCACCTTTTCTGATACATCCTAAAAAAAAAAAAAAAAAGTTAAAAGACTTTATTTTTACGAATGAAAGAACCATATAAACAAGAGTAAACACTAGACAACCATTTTTTGTTTGTTTCTAATGTGTTGAAATTAAATATGAAGTTAAAGAGTTTTACCTTCTTTTCATCACAAGTTCCTTCGCTCATGATATAGGGATACTCTTCTTCCTTATGAAGCCCACCGTTTTTCACTATGAAGGAGAAGGCATAGTCCATTAAACCTCCATTGCAACCATTGTTAAAGCTTGTATCACAATCAATCAACTCCTGTTCTGATAACACTGTTAAATTTCCAGTCACGATTTGGTTTATACCCTCCACCGCAGCCACCGTTGAAAATGCCCAACAGCTACCTGTATTCCATATCATATGAGAAAAAGAATATGCATGACAAATTTTTGAGTAAATTACAAAACTGATCCCTATGCTTTTAACTTTTTACCATGTTTAATCCAAAATTAAAATGTACGTGGTTTTTTGGTCTTTATTTCAAGGTTACTTATTGATTTTGGTCCCTGGAATCTTGACATAATCCAAGTAAATTAGAAAATGGTCACTCTGCTTTCTAAATTTTACCATGTTTAGTCCAATATTAAAACTTTTTTTTTTTTTAATTTTGGTCCTTATTTCAAGATTTCATATCAATTTTGTTCCCTGGAACAATGAAAAAAGGACCAAAATCAATATAAAAACTAGAACTAAGGACCAACATCAGAGCATCATTAAATCGATATGAGACTTTGAAACAAGGATCGGATTTGAAAAAGGTTTCAGATCTCGACTCAACACAGTAAAAATCAAAAAGCACAGGGACCATTTTGTAAGTTGCCTTGAAACGAGGACCAAAATCGATACAAAACCTTGAAAAAATGACCAGAACTGGAAAATGTTTAAATTTGTAGTTTACTCTAAATTTAATAATCTTAAAGGATGATATAATATTTGTTATACTAACCACATGAACCCTGGTTCTTAACGGGTGAAACGGCTCCTTTTTTTCTCCAATCAACAGATTTTGGGAGATGAAGAAAATCTTGATAAGTGAATTCTTTAGTTGATTCCTCTCTTCTTTCTGGCATCTCACCCTTGAGTCCTAAGAACATGTTCTTGAACTCTTCATGACTCAAGTCAGCAAACTCATTGAGTCCTAGCCAATAGTTGCTAACTTTCTTGTTGGTTTCATCAATATGCTTTAAGTTGTCTTTGAAGATCTCGAATCTATGTAGCTTTTCTTCCATGCTCTCATACAATTTTTCATGTTTTGAGAGCCATGATTCAAAGAGGTTGATGACTTTGTCAATGCATGTTAAATCCTCGGGGGCGTACCCCACGATTGAGAACTCGTGGGCAAAGGTTGAAAGGGCGAAAAGGGAAAGGAAAAAGAAGAAAAGGGATGATCTTTTTGAAGAGGGAAATGTCATTTTTGTGTGTTTGTGGTGAAATGAGAAGAGATTGAATGAAGAATATGAGGGATGAATGGAGGTTTATATAGGGTGGTGTTATGGGATATGTTGCTTTCAGTTTAAGTTTATTTGTATATTATAAGTGATAAAGTTTGCTTCTTTTTTGGCAATCTTTAGAGCCAAGTATGTCTGCTACTTCCAGGAATTTTTAAGAATAGAACAGGTGAAAAGTTTGTAGGTATTGATGATGTTCATCATGTATATTACAGCTTTCTTTTGTGAATGCTTGTTTCTTGTGTTGTGTTATAAGAGAAAACTTAGTTATTGATTACAATTAAAATCATTAAGGACAATTACAAAATCTGTTTTGAAACTATAAAGATTACGTAAGCCGATTTTATTAGGTTAACTTAGAGATTGTTTTCCACTAATGTATAGACACTACAACATATACGTCAAATCTTTGCACTTAACACAAATGTATAAAATATTACTTTTTTACGTAATTATATTTCAAAATTTCAAGTATTAGAAAATAATACAAAACTACACTTAATTGTATAGAAATATACTACTATTTTGTATAAATAGTGTTTATGAACGTGTAAAATAATAGCATGGAGATAAGAGGAAAAATATCCATGCCTAATAGTTGTGAATATTAAAACCTTTAAATTCTAAGCCACTACTCCCAACTGGAAAGATTTTAGTAATTTACTACACTTTAAAGTGAGTTTTAACTACTCGTTTTTCACATTTTTCGATGTAGAAAGTTACAAATAATTTATCACAACACAAAGTTCAAATTTTTGCACATTTGTAAATGTGCGAATACATCTAAAAATATTGATCGACTGATCTTAATATTACTATAAACAGATAATGAGCCAGATAAGGGACAATGAAGGTGTTTGTTGCTTCAAGGATGTAACATATACTTACTTCTTTTTATTATCATTATATTATTATTATAATTATTACTAGTTTTAAGTTTGGGATGGATTTAGAGTTTAACCTTAACTATCTACCATGTACAATGGAGTCCAAAAAACAAAAACAAAAACAAATATTGCACTTATAACACTCTTTGCATCCAAAAAATGCAACTCCATTGAAAAAACAATATTGTCTCATTCATCCATAATTTTAGGATTTTAGGATAGTGAATAATACATAACAATTGCTTCAAAACTATCTAATAATTATTGCATTGCAGTCCATCCTTGAGGTCCAGACATACATACATACCCTGGTCAAGAAGAATGGTATTTATTAGTAAACAATATGAGACACAAGAATTAAGAATATTTCACTAATTTCTTACAATCTCATCATATCCTAATGTTACTGAGTTGGTATCTAATTTGTTGAATATTTCTCTATTTTGTTGTTTAGTAATTAGCTACATCAACAACAGATGAATGATTGTGTGTGTATGTCATGCTCATGCATAACTTGAAGCTAAGTGGAAGAGAAGAGTTTAAAAAAAATGTACTAAAGCTATTAACTTGAAACATTGTATCTTGGTGATGAGGAGGAATCTTGTCATCTTCATACGAAGGAAAATTGGTTCAATATTTTTTATTATGTTAACTCCATGTTTTTACAATGGTAAGAATGGTAGTTTTCTGTTCTACTAGGAACATGTGCACCATTAGTCATGTTAGATTATATAGTTATCAATTTTTAAAATTAAAGAGCAAACTTCACCGATTTATAACAATCTTTATTTATAGAAAGCCATTCAAAATACTTTTCTTTATACATGTTCTTTCAGTCCAAGTTTACAACTTTTTTGCCTGGAATTGCCTGTAACTAAATTCTATCACCCGTTGGAGTAAAAGAAAGGTTTCATGGCCAATTCATAACATTGGCTATGATGCATGGTCTGAAAGGGTATAATCCCTCTTTTATTTATCAAAATGGGTCATTTAACGTATCCACCTAGTTCCAATTAGACAATTTTGGACCCTCGATTAACAATTTTCATAGATAAATTTCTAAAGTATGAGAAGTTGAGTACCAAAAAACTATTGACTACATAGATTGGCTGCATGCACAAATCGATGACTTTTACCCAACTTTCTAGAACAATGGCTCGCTCTTTTAAATCCCAACAATACCCAATATCTAATTATATATGAAGCATATAATCTGAATTAGAAACATCTATAATCCAAATCAATTAAGCAATAAAAGAGGGATAAAACTAAACGCGAACCCTAACATAACACAGATTCAAAATAGAAGGGAAGAGAAGTGCCAACCTTTTAAGACTCTAATTGGTAGATTTGGAAGGAGCGTTCTTGTTGTAGATGAAATCAGGAGGAGAATAGATAAGAGAGGCGATCATGGCTCCAGGCAACACCCCAAATACAGACACTGCAGCCAGTTTCTTCACTAGCGGCTCTCCGTCTCTGGTTATGGCGGAAAAAAGGCCCTTCGTATACCCCATATTCGATCTAACAGCTTCAACAAATTCAAATCAGCGATGCTAATTAGTTGCTAAGGATACAATATGCTCTTCGGAACTCTCCCGCAGAGATGAGAAATTGACAAGCGACTAATTTACCAGTACCATTCTACTTTATTGTAAGTGTAGAACCTGGTGTTGGGCCAAAATTGAAATGGGCTACAACTGCCATAGTTTTGAATGCTTAAGCCCAAAATATTTTTCTTAGTAAATGATTTGAGTCGTATTGCATTTTATGATATAATATTTCATTTTACAGTTTAAGATTAGTTTGGAAAACATTAAAAAGGAACCATGTTATGCATGACTTGATCGCATAAAGTCCAAAATAGGTGCAGTATGATAGATCGTTATGGTATCTATAAGTGTAATATCTATGTATATTAAATTATTCTGTTTTATGAGGGCCAAAAAAAATGAAATAAAATCTCAACATTCATAATCTTGTAACAATGTTCAGAAATGCCTATTTTTTGTTGGCATTCCTTCCTCACTTTCCAAGATAAAATACGATTCAAAAAGAAAAATCTCAATCATAATGAACTTCAGAGCAGATTAGATGTCGATGTTTGGTATATGACTCGTCAATTTTGGGATTATGCGAAGTAACAATCATCTTTGAACAATATCTTAACCATATTAATATATGTGATTCATCTATTGAAATCGACTATGGTTTTTGGTTGGTTATATATATATATATATATATATATATATATATATATATATATATATATATATATATATATATATATATATATATATATATATATATATATATATATATATATATATATATGTCTATCTTTACCGTTAGTTGTATAATTGCATTTTATTTGGTACTTTTTAGTATGTGATGAGTGACTAATGATGCAAAATAAAGAAAGTAGAGTATTAAACTTAGATATTTAGTTTTGAGACTTTTGAATTTGTAGTTTTTTGTATAATTATTTGGTATGATATCCTGTTTAAGTTAATAATTGTCTTTGTTTATTTCTTATTGTGTTTTTGTATATAGCATTGTTAGTAAGTTCTTATATATGTAAAATAATTGTTAGGTTTTTGTAAGCAATATGATATAAGAAATGGGACACAATGTTGCTTGAAACACCCTTTGAATCCTAAAGAGCATAGTAGTGGTTTGGTACTTTGATAGGAGAAAGATCTTCAAGAACATATGTGCTATGGAAGCAATCTAACTCAATCCTCACACAATTTTGTTCATTTATCATTAAAAAAAATAATAATAACAAGAGTGAAGCATTAGAATATCATTCCACGTTTTCCTGAGGTTATTAAAAGAAACTACTAATCTAAGCACTTGTGTTAGTAGGCGAGGACATGATAGAGAGAACATTTGTGACTGATGACATGGCACTCAAAGCCGCTTTCAAAACATCCTGAGAACAACCTGGTTTCACAATACCTCGTACCTACACGAACACAAAAATTAAAAACTTCAAACCTTAAATAAAATAAATTTATTTTATTGTTAAGATAAGAATGAGACCTTTTCAAGATATTCATTTAGTTCTTTAATACGACCCATATAATCAAGATCCTCAACATACAAACTCACGACCCGTGAATCAGCACCCGGCCCATCAAATTGAAGTGGTCCTGGGTTTCTGTAAATATCATCCAACAACAATTTTCTCGCGTTTTCTCTCAGCACCCTACACCAATAAATCACATTTTTAGTATAACTTGATTAAAATAACATGAGAAAATCACAAAAGATATCCAAAAAGGGAGGAATCTATTCAAATAAAAAAGTCAACCTTTTTTACTTTTTACACAAATGACCATCTTTCATTGCCAAATACCTTTTTGCTGCAAAATTCACTTTCACAGCAATATATTAATTAAAAAAATCATATATTCTAAAATACATGATTTTTTATAGATTTTGTTAGTAAATTACAAATTTGGTCCTAACGCTTTAACAAAATTGCAAGTTCAGTCCAAAATAAAACTTTGTGGCGATATTGTAAAATGTCAAAAAAGATGCAAACCTAAGGACGATATTGGGACAATTTGAAATTTTGGATTGAAGCTGCGAGTTTTTGTAAAGCACAGGGACCGAAAAGTGATTTTGCATTGGTCCCATTGTGAAATATGTGGTGATTTGTGTAAAATGTGAAAAAAGATGACCATTTTGTTAAATACTTACCCTTATTTTGATCATTTTTGTAATTTTCACAAAAAAAAAATAAAAAAAAAATTAAAAATTAAAAATTAAAAATTAAAAAATTAAAAAAGAAAAATAAGTTTATTTGGTATGATGAGGTGACAGACATACCCGTATACTTTGCCTCTCAAATCCACAATAGCAGGATGAAGAAGCGGTTTTCCAATTGTCATTGCGCGTGAACCACCAACATCATTCTTTATGGTCAACATAGCCTACAAAAAAAAAGTCAATGGTCAAATCTAGATAGATATTTTGACTTTTTTTTTTAAAAAAAAAATAATATTGTGAGACTTACGGTTATAGGAGCAGCACCACAGCGCCACTTGTTACAAGGATTCTTCAAGTTAGTTACAGTCGCCATATAACCATTCAGACCAGCTGCAAGAATATGGTAACAGATATGTCCTAACACCTACATCATAATTATTAATTATTGCTCCATGCTTTGGTAAAGGCTACAAAATATTTAAAATTTATAGTATCTAATTTTATGGATAAAAATGGAAAGAAACTTACGTAGGCATAATCACAATCAAATTTTGATGGTAAAGAGCCTCGAGCTTGATACCCAAAAAAATGGCAGATACCATTGAATTTCTTCCCCTTGTATGAACCTTCTTTCTGTATTATTATTATTATTTATTATTAACATTCACATATAATTAATAAAGTAAATTAAATTGTTGGTCCACTCCTGAGTATACTCTTAATTTTGCAATTTTGGTTCCAAAACGTTTTTTTCTGTTGCAATCTTGGTCCATATTTGAGATTGTCGTAACATTATTGGTCCATGCTCCTTGCAAAATGACTAGTTTTGGTCCCTTAGTATATCTGATTTGAGCAATTTTGGTCCTCAAAATATAGTCATTTCACCAAAGTTTTTACTAAAACCTCAAATAAGGACCGTAATTGCAATAGAAAACTTTT